AAGAGAATTATAGACTCTTAGAATGAAGAAACACAGCTGACCTAACTAAATATTTTAGCACTGAGGATTACCCGCTAGGCCTTGGAAAGGCAGCAGTTGGCCATTAATAAAAGCAGCAGGTTTTGTGCTTGTAACAATTTCATAAATGGCATCAAGAGCCCCCTGTGGCCAGCATTCCTGGTAATCCACTTAGTGCTTCAGAGAAGGACCACGCCTGGTGCATCCTCACCCTCTCATGATTTTGGTAGCTCTGGGCAGGGCTGCCTGACTTTACCCAGCACAGCTGTCCCACAAACTGCAGCTGACAACTCCCAGAGGCAGACTGAGGGCGGCGCGTGCAAGATCCCAGAGAGCCCGGAGAGAGTGACTGAAAACAAGGGAAATGCCGATTTGGAGAAAATGGATTTTCCAGTTTGATTGAACTCCGTTTTCTAGGGTTAGAGCCACTAGTTCTGTTTGAGTCTGGTATGTTGCTGCCTGATGCCCAGAGAGGCGTGAACTAGCCTGAGAAAAATCATGTTAGTTCTTTACTAGTCTTACGGCTTCTCTAGAAGTTAGCAATGGTCACCCGGGGAATGGTGCTGTCATGGAGTGTCTCCCATGCCTGACCTGTGTCTACTCCAGTCTCAAAGCACATCTGTTGCGCTGAGACCAGCTCGATGGTGGAGACCCCAACCCAGGTGGCACTGAAGGAATTAAGAAACAGACACAGAGAGCGAAAAGGTATGGGACAGACAGGGCACCTCAGCATTCCCAGCTGAGAGCCTTGAACAGAGTCTGACCCACACATTTATTGGCAGCGAGCAAGTGGTAAATATCACTTAATTAAAAGCATTCTTGGCAGGGAACAAAGCATTTTTTACTAGTGGCAAGAAACAGGCTCTGGCGTGTTTACTGCAGCTGGAACATGTCATGTTAAGGCACAGGGTGCTTATGCTTTGTTTATGGTTCAGAATCCCCCCAGAGCGGTCTTCAACCCAAGGGCAAGTTAGGTCTTTTCCTCCCTGGCTCCAGTAAACCAAAACCTCTAGCAATGTGTGTCACTGCCATCATGAGGATGTCACAGTGCCATAGATATTCTGTTTATGGCCAGTTTCTTTAAGGCCTGTTTTTGCCAGACTTAGGGCGTGCTCTCAAACGCTCTCAACACCATTGCGTTCTGAAGGCAACGTTGAGAGCTGGTGTGAAATGGCACATTTGTCCTAAAATGGCTTGAAAACTACGTATGTTGTTGAGAGGAGGAAGATGGTACTGGAAAGAACAGAAATGTGCTGATTTTTAAGATATAACTAAACAGTTTTACTAAGAATGGAGGCTTGACCCAGCCACCTTCATTCATCTGAACTGGGTCCATCTCTGACCCAGGCTGAGAAATGGTCTGGCAGAACACCCCAAGGCAGTGCACCTGGTGACACATACCCTGGTACCTTTGTCCACCACCCCTCAGCCCACTTCCAGTGAGAGCTAGGGCCATGGCAGACAGCTCCACCCAGACTCGGGCTCTCCTCTGGTGACAGCCACCAGCCTGGAGCTTGTGCTGTGTGTCTCGATTTCCAACTCAGCACTTCTGTGATGATACAGCCTGAAAGTGGGGTTTCAGGAACTATTGTCTCAAGTAGCAGCCCTCAGCAATGAGGGATAGGGACCAGAAAAAAAGCCCACACTGCCTGTCCTGAGGCGATAATTCTGGGAGCCATTCTGCATGCTTCTCAAGAGGCCCCAGGAGATCCGAGCTGCTTTTGCTCACAGCAGTGACCTGAACAGCGCATCCTTATATTGATCTGTTTTCTTCCGACCACTCTCAGCTCCCACACTCCTGCTTCCTGAGATCAACTCCCAAACAAAATATCTACTCCTACTTTCTTTTCTCAGGCTCTACCTTTGGTGAAATTCCTCAGGGCTGAATATTTAATTTTAAACACCTCTGACAACAAGACTTTCTCTGAATTGAGGGAATTGACTGTCCCATTTGCCATTCAGAGATAGCGCTATCTCCCAGGGTATTTTCATAGTTCAAAAGAGGTTTTATTTCTTACAGGGCAATGGGTACCAAAGAATTCTGAGAACCTAATCAACTAGAATTTGCCAGGTTTTCATCAAGTGGTTTGGGGACTACAAAGAAATTTCCATATTACAACACATGAGAAGTAAATGTAACGTAAATACAAGACACAAAAATAAGTGAAAAGATAAATATAAATGGTATTGGAGGAAGAGCTACAGTCCTGTGTGTCTTGCATTTGCTCTCCCTTCTGCTGGTAAAAGCCCTGCAGTTTCCCTTTGCAGAACCTACCCTGATTCATGCTTTATTTTGGTTGCCTGGTTCTACCCCTGACTCTTGAGGGGATGGCCTGACCCAAAGATGGCCACTTAGTTTATTCCACCTCCCGGTCACAGTGCTTATAATTCAAGGATGTCTATATGGCCCAGACTGGCCCAATTATATTTAGTTCTGGGATTTTGGTTGGGCATTTTGAATAGCACAGTTATTTTTCAGCTGGAGTTGCTGAACTGGTAGAAACTGAACTTTGAAGCTGTCGGTGACATTTTTTGCCACTGTAATGTGAGTCTGTTAAATCTGAAGGCAGCTTCAGGGGAAGTCAGGCAGAGACTGAATCCTGATGGTACCGTCAGAGAAGCAGGATCCATTTTCATGAGCTCACAGCTTCTGTTTGCTGTCTGAAGTTGAGTTAGATTTCTGGCATTAGTAACTGAAAGAATCTCAACTAAAAAATTATTTTGCTGCAAGGTGATAACAGCTGAGTCCAAACTGGGATTCAAAGCTTCATCGTATCTTTGAAATTGAGGGTTAGATAATCCTGTTTCTTTCCCAGGCACCAATTTGCCTGAGCCGATAGGGAGGGAAAGGGGCCCACAGGGATGGTGTTCCAGTATGGGCCCTGGTGGTCAGAAATGTGCTACTCTGTGTTAATTGATGGTGAGAACAGTTGGACATCTGTTTTCTCTCTAAGCAATGCTAAAATAAGGACACAGCTGGGGGCTTTGGGAGACCAGGGCTACAGTCTAGATGGTTTGGACTCTGATAACAAGGTCCACACAGATGAAGAATTAGCTACTTTCCATGTTTGCTTGAAACACACAGCATGACTCTGGTAGAGGGGGACTAAAAGCAGCCCGGGAATTTTTTGTGGAACATTGGGAAGCAAAGGGCGATTACCGTGTTACAGCCTGATGGGTTCTTCTTGCCCACTGCCCAGAAAAAGCCAATACACTGAGACAGTACGTGTTATGGCAGAGAAAGAGTTTCATAATTGCAGGACAGCCAAGCAAGGAGGACAAGAGAAATATCTCAAATCTACCTTCCTGAGAACCCAGAGGCTGAGATTTTTAAGGTAGTTTGGTGAGCAGGGGTCTAGGGAATTAGAACCGCTGATCAGCTGGGGATTAACATATGGGGAAGAGTATTAATTGTCTTGCACTAATCCAGCTTCTGGGTGGGGCAGGGGTGTCACAGGCCTGTTGAGTCAATATCTTGGAATGGATCCTTGGTCCAGCCAGTGCCAGTTGGTACAGTGATTGCCACATCCGAAAAATGCCTTGAAGAATAGCCATAGGTTTTACAATAATAATGCTACCTAAAAGAGCAATTAGAAGAAGTTACAGCCCTTGTGACCACTGGCTTGGCTTCTGAGCAGTAAGCAATTATGGGCAGTCTTAGAAACAATGGCTGGTTAACTTTTAACTATGCCTGACACTTCTACTCTATGATATTAATTTTTATGTAGATGTTTTCAGCCAAATACCTGACAACATTAACTGAGCACTAACAAATTAAAATGTCTTGTGGAGTTGGTTTTGGAAAATGCTTTCAAATTAAATTTCGCCAGAGTTGGAATAATTTTGACCAAAGCATTTCTACTTATAAACAATGAGTAAAAGTGCTCTTTTGTTAAAGTAAGATCAAAGTCTTACAATGCCCAGGATAAATGAAAAAGAGAAAAGAGCTCAACCCATTTTCCAGATGCCACATTCACTGGTATAAAACATATGGTTGGCTGGCCATAGTAGCCAGGTACCTGCCAATGTTCAGGTCTCTAATGGAGTATATAGAACTCAGGCAGAACAGAGTTGAGAATCAGATGTCTAAGCCTAGAGTTTCTACACCCCAAATATTTTTATTAATGCCAAGCACTGTTCTATGCACCGAATATAGCAAAGAATAAAATAAAAGTTTCTCCCCTCTTCGAGCTAAGATTACAGTTGGTGGGGATGGGTGGCGTAGACAATCACCCTATGATGAGTGGTGATAGTACAGAAAAGGAAAACAGTATTGGGGATAGAAAATAATGGGGGTGCTATTCAGATGCTATGGGCCAGGAAGGCCTCTCACATAGAGTGACATTGACACAAACACCTGGATGAAGTTGGGGAGTGCATGAGTCTGTTTTCACACTGCTATAAGGAACTGCCTGAAACAATAATTTATGAAGAGAAAAGGTCTAATTGACTCACAACTCTGCACGGCTAGGGAGGCCTCGGAAACTTACAATTGTGGAGGAAGATGAAGGGGAGCAAAGACCTTCCTCACATGGTGGCAAGAAAGAAAGAGTAAGCGGGGAACTGCCAAACACTTTTAATCCATCAGATCTTGTAAGAACTCCCTCCCTATCACAAGAACAGCATGAGGGAAATGACCCCCATGATCCAATCACCTTCCACCAGGTCCCTCCCTCAACATGTGGGAATTATAATTCAAATAAGATCTGAGTGGGGAGACATAGGCAAACCCTATCAGGGAGTAAGCTCTGGGGCTCTTTATAAAATGAGAGTTTCCACAGAGGTGACAACAGGAGGAAGAGCCCCATTGCCCAAGCTTACCTGGAGTGTGGGAATCACAGGGAAGCCAGTAGGGCTGGCAATAGGACACGGGCAGAGACGAGGCCTCAGGGGTGTGGGGCCAGGGCCAATCATGTGGCACGCTGTGGGCATTAGAGGGCCTTTGTCTGTGTGAGGTTTCCTTGCTAATTCCTCCTGCGCTCCTCCTTCACCCTGTTTCTTTGTGCAGAAGGAATAATCGTCTCTATCCTGCCTTTTCTTCAGAGTGGCTGGGAGTTCAGGGGTCCCTGACCCAGCCTCAGTTTCACTCTTAGTCTTCGAAATGACCTTGAAAAGAAATTCAGGAAAATGAAAATAATTTCTTTTCTGTTTTTCTCTTCCAATGGCTGTTCTCTGGTGCACGTTCCCTTTCCCTTACTCAGAAGTTGGCTGGCCAGAGAGACTCCCTGGATGCCAGCCCAGCCAGAAAAACAATGCCCTTCTCCTGCCATCTCTATCTGCTTCTGTTTCCCAAGGACATTTTAAACACAAACACACACACACACACACACACACACATTATATATATATATATATATATAAATATATATAAAATTATCTATTATGTATAATTGAATTGATTATAGTTATGAATAAATATAAATTAATTTTAATGTATAGATACGTAATTTAGTGTGTGTATATATAATAAAAAACCACATATGGAGTGTTTGCCACATCAGGAACTGTGTGACTGCTTTGAGCCATTGCTTTGTTGAATTCTAACAAAAACAACCAGTGAGGCAGAAGTTACGGTAATTTCGATTTGCTAGGTAAAAATATTACATCTCAGGGAAGCTAAGAAACTCACCTCAGCCCCTGAACCAGACGCAGGGGCTCTGATGCAGACCCACTGTGGTGCCTGCCTCTGAACTGCGTTTCTGGGGAGTGTCTGCCCTACCTCAGGTCCTGCACTGCAACCTGGGAATACGCTTATAAGCATGTAAATAAACCTACAGTTACTATTACCACTCTTGTGATGCTGTGGTCAAGAGCAACGGGAGGCAAGGTTGAATTCAAGACGGTGCTTTTCTGTAATAAATTCATAAACTTGAGTGTGACCTGCAGTTTCTACCACGCTTGGATTTTATTTAAGTTTTGTTTGACTAATTGGCTAAAAAAAATACCTTGTGGCCGGGCACCGTGGCTCAGGCCTATAATCTCAGCATTTTGGGAGGCCGAGGCGGGTGGATAATGAGGTCAAGAGATCGAGACCATCCTGGTCAACGTGGTGAAACCCCATCTCTAATAAATACAAAAATCAGCTGGACATGGTGGCGTGTGTCTGTAGTCCCAGCTACTCAGGAGGCTGAGGCAGGAGAATTGCTTGAACCCAGGAGGCAGAGGTTGTGGTGAGCCAAGATCGCACCACTGCACTCCAGCCTGGGTAACAAGAGTGAAACTCCATCTCAAAAAAAAAAACAACCTTGGATTTATTTTTTTAAATTGCTACACAATTTTCCGTAGCACAGGATAAAGAGGCCATCAAGTACATTTTCAGAATAGTGATACGTTTATGAATGGTGGAGTTTTGATGGCAAAACTGAGGCTGAGCTGAAATAATACGGTTCAAGGGAGAAATTTGGAGAATAATATTCAGAAATGGAAATTTCTGTGCAGCTGAGCATTAATGTTATTTAATATTCAACAAGTTAAATGCCAGCTCTTCAAGGGCACTTTACACGTCTCTAGAATGCAGGAAATATCTGTGTGCCGCTGGTTCTTTCTCCAATGGCTAACTGGCCATTTGCTCATTCCGACCTTGAATATTGTTCATGAAAATGCAATTGAAAAGTACATTTAGGTATGACTCTTGAAAGCTTTTCATAAGGGCCATTTAAGGGACTCAAAGTGATTTTATTAATTCTCCATTTCACACACTCAGCCAAATGAAGAGCAACACTCAGAGATGGCCCTCACTAGTAGGGAAAGCAAAGCGTGCATTTCCTGGCTCCCCTCTCTCCCATTGCCCTGTCCCTGTCCCAGGGGTTCCTTATGCTCTGTCTTCCCCTTCACCTCCTTCAAAAATATCCTGCCGTCTGCCCCATCTCTGCTAGGACCATTTCTAGCACGTTCCTAAGATTATGCTAGTTGTTAGCTCTCTTTTCACATAGAATTTAGAATCTATTAATTATTTATTTGAATGGATGTGCTTTTGTGTGTGGGGGGGTATAACAACGTGAAGTTTAACAACAATTATCACATCCTGGAGTGGAAGGGATAGTAAATAGCATCCAGATGAGACTCTACGTAGGCTTGAAGCTCTTGGCATAGGCAAGATTCCTTCACAAGCAGGGATTTTCCCCTGAGGATTAAAGATAAATGGTTTATGTGGAGGGTGATCTCAGGTGGCACCTGTAAATAACTAGAAACGGGAGGTAAAGAAGCCAGTTTCAGCTTCATTCGTGAGCAGGTTGCTGCTGTGGGCCACTGAGGCTCATTTCTGCCAGGGGCCCCCGAATAACACTACAGAGCATGCCCCAGTGTTCATCTCACTAAGGAGCAAGGGGCTGGGGTGTCCATCCTTCAATTCCTACTCATCATCGACTACAGGTGCTCCTGGGGATGCTGACTCTCTGGACCTCTCTGCTCTGCTGGAGGACAGAAAGCCCTAAGGTGGAGACAGCGGAGTACCAGCAGCACGTGAGTACTGGGCTTTTACATATGGGATAGCGACACTGTCTGCTCTACCCTGTCACAAAAACATCTCACCAAGCTCACGCAGGTCACAGAGCACCAGTGATGAGCGCTCAGCACCTCTTAAAGAACAATACTTATTTCTCAAAATTTCAACAAAGTACTTGTTGCTTCTAGCTATTTAACTCTTAGGACTGAAAAGAAGATGGTTGCTTTTTCAGCCCCTCACATTTCACAGGTCCCTTTCATAACTTCCTCCAATCCCACTCAAGCCCTCACTACACTCTTTCCCACACCACACGGTGGGGCAGGACAGTATCGGAGACGTAGAAGGTACCGAGTAGGTATTTACTGCCATCATTGTTATTAGTAGCAGTAGTATGTTGTCCGGCTGTTTTGAGTCCCATAGGACTCGAGCCATGATTTGAAGGACAGAAGTAAAAGTATCTGGAATAATTGGGAAGAGAGCGAATGAGACAGAAGAGGGGTCATCTGCTGACTATGAAGTTACCCAGTGTATTAGTCGATTTTGTGTTGCTAAAAATGATACCTGAGACTTTTATAAAGAAAGGAGGTTTATTTCACTCATGGTTCTGCAAACTGTACGATAATCATGGCAGCAGCATCTGCTCAGCTTCTGGTGAGGCCACAGGGAGCTTGTACTCATGGCAGAAGGTGGAGGTGGAACAGGCAAGTCGCATGGTGAGAGAGGCAGCAAGGGAGCTGGAGGAGTTGCCAGGGCCCTCTGAGAAACCAGCTGTTTCCTAAACACCTAGAGTGAGAACTCACTCATTACTTTAGGGAGGGCAACAAACCACTCGTGAAAGATCCACCCCCACGACCCGAACACCACCTACCAGGCCCCGCCTCCAACATCAGAGGTCACTTTTCAACCAGAGATTTAGAGCAAATCCCTAACCAAGCTACAGCAACCAGACTTTGGACTTCTGGGGCCTTGAGACATTATCTCAGCCTGATGAGAGAGATAAGAGTTCCTCCCCTGAAAAGTAGGTGTTCTGCCCTGGAAAGTGGGTGTCAGGGAGGAGACCCGCACTTGGCCTGGTTGGGCGTGGGTGCCGAGGTGTGGAGAGCTCCACAGTGGTCATGGTGGCCGGCGTGAGCTGCCTCGCTGGAGAAGATCTGGAGTGATATCTGGGCTCTGCTTCCACTGGCCATTGGCGACCTGAGCGCATGTCATTAAACCCTGAGACCCCAAGCCACCACAGGGGCTTAGATGTGTGGGCCGCCCAGCAGAACCTTGCTCACCAGGAACAGCCAAAAGGGCAGAATGAGGATGTGGAGCCAACAACGTCTATTCTGAAGCACATGGAGGTCACAGAGGGAGGATAACTCAGAGAGAGTGGAGCACTTCTGCAGTTGAATGGACAAAGAGAATACGGGCCACAGACACAGTAGAATATTATCCAGCTATGAAAGAATAAAACTCTGTCATTTGCAACAACTTAGAGGGAATTGGCAGGGTTGAGGGGGGTGGTATTCTGTTAAATAAAACAAGCCAGACACAGAAAGAAAAGCATCATAGGTTGTCACCATTTGAAGGAGCTGAAAAAAAAAATTGCACCCATGAAGACAGAGGGTGAAATGATGGTTGTCAGAGGCTTGAAGGGTAGTGAAGTGGGGAAGGATAAAGAGGGGAAGGTTAGGGTGGGCGCAGTGGTTCACACCTGTAATCCCAGCACTTTGGGAGGCTGAGCTGGGAGGATCATTTGATGCCAGGAGTCAAGACCAGACTGACCAACATAGTGAAACCGTGTCTTACTAAAAATAGTCAAAATTAGCCGGGCATGGTGGTGAACACCTGTAATCTCAGCTACTTGGGAGCCTGAGGCAGGAGAATCGCTTTAACCTGGGAGGTGGAGGTTGCAGTGAGCTGAGATCATGCCACTGAACTCCAGCCTGGGTGACAGAGTGAGATTGTCTCAAAAAAAAAAAAAAAAAGAAGGGAAGGTTAATAGGTTAAAAAATACAGTTAAAGAGAATGTATAAAGATTCAGTATTCAGTAGCACAACAGGGTGACTAGAGTTAACAATAATTTATTGCATATTTTAAAATAACTAGAATAGTGAAATTGGAATTCTCCTAATGCAAAGAAATGATAAAGGCTTGAGGTGGTGTTTGCCCCGATTGCCCGATTCAATCATTATACATAGCATGCCTGTATCAAAACATCACATGTGCGTTATAAACATATGCTACTATTATGTACCTCTGATAATTACAAATAAAATTAATAAAGCCTCTCAAAAACAAAAAAAAAAGGAAAAGTTGAGTGCAGAATGCAAGAGAGAGGAATGAAGTCATAATCCTCAGCACAGGGATGGATGGGGCCGCATGGAGGCTACTGACTTCTAAATTAGTGCCGTTTCATTTTATAGTCATAGGGGAAACCACATTTTCTTTATCCCATTCACCACTGGTGGATTTCAACCTGGGTGAAATCAAACATCCAGGTTGATTTCATGTTTTTGCTATTTTAAATAGTGCGGCAACGAACACGTGAGTGCATGTGTCTTTT